TCTTTGGCTGAGGACTTAAGGGACTCCACACTGTTGCTGCTCTTTTAGACCTTGTGTTAGTCGCTCGGGCTGTGATCACAAAGGACCTTGGACTGGGTGACTTAGACAGCAGAAATGGATCGCTCACAGTTCTGGAGACTAGAAGTTCAAGATCAGGGTGCTGGGGAGGGAGGGAGGAAGGACGGAAGAAAGCGAGGAGAAGCGGAAGGCAGGGAAAGAAGAGGAAAGGGAGAGAAAGAAGGAGAGAAGGAGGGCAGGAAGGAAGGAAAGAAACTCTCTCTAACACCGCGGCATTTGAGCACTCAGTGGTCAGCCACTGGAACTCAATCCTTTAGATCTAAATCTGCAGACTTTTTCTGTAAAGGGCAAGATGAGACGTATTTCCAGCTTCGTGGGCCATGCGGTCTGGGACTCCAACACAACAACTAGCCCGCTCCGCCGCTGTAGCGCGAAGGCCACCAAGCCCAGTGCAGAAACAGATGAGCATGGCTGTGTCCCAGGAAAGCTTTACTTGGGGACACTAGAATCGGGACTTCATCTAGCTTTCGTGTGTCACGAAATAGTATTCTTCTTGGGATTTTTGCACTCAGTCATCTGAAAATGGAAACATTGGCTTGTTGCAGTGGAATCCTAGCACTTTGGAAGGCTGGGGTGGGAGGATCACTTGAAGCCAGGGGTTTGAGACCAGCCTGGGCAAAATAGGGAGATCCTTCCATCTGTACAAAGAAAAAATGAAAATAAAAAAATTAGCCAGGCATGGTGGCTTATACCTGTAATTCTAGCTACTCAGGAAACAGAGGCAGGAGGATCCCTTGAGCCCAGGAGGTCGAGGCTGCAGTGAGGTATGATTGCACCATTGCACTCCAACTTGGGGACAGAGTGAGACCCTGTCTCTAAAATAAAAATAAAATAATAAAAATGGAAACATCCTTCTTAGTTCATGGGCAACAATTTGTGAACACTGCTTTAGAGCAAGCCTCTATAAGATGCTTCCCCCGTGGTGAGATGCATCACCATAAGCTGAGGCCTAGAACACAATCCCTGGCTCATAGTAGGTTCTCACCATGTATTTGTTGAGAGAAAGAAAGAAGAAAGAAAGAGAGGGAGAAAGGAATCAGAGCTCCAGGGATCCCACAAAATGCAGTTCTCAGCTCGGTGCTCAAGCTTCCCTCCTGACGCTGGGTCAGGGCCACAAGATACTTCCTTGCCTTCCCTGAGGCCTCTGCAGATGTACTGACAATGCCATTGACATGCCATGAGCTCACAACCTCCTTTGCAAGTGGAGTAGCAGGCATCCCAGGGACCCACTGAGAGCCAACCAGCATTCTCTGCTACCTGCAAGCACCCCTTGTAAAGTGGGAATAATAAGCTTCTTGCTTGGCACATAGTAAGTGCTCGCTTAATGTGAGTGTTCTGTATTCGTCCCTCAGCATTCTCTGTGACTTCTGTCCCGGACTTAACCCACCTGATTGTGATTCATAGCTGTCCTCACAGACACAGAGCCAGAAAGGGACACATGGAGCCACAGCCCAGAGCCCACTTGTGGCTGGGCCCCGGCACAATAACTCATAAGTGCAGTTCATCTGCATTTCAAGCGGGAGAACTTTGGAAGAGTCATTTGCATCCTGCACCAGGGCCCCAGACTGCTATATTAATCCCCCCCGTGCGTCCCCTCCTGAGTCATCTGAAATTACTGCTGGCTAATTAAAACATCAAGGCCCCAAGGACAGCAGCCCTGCCAGCAGCCTCTAATGCCTGATTTCAAGCCTGTAATCCAGTGAAACCTGGTGGAGGGTGGCATGGCTCGCACTCTGGCAGCCAAGTACGTGGCTCTCAGCGACCCCCTCGCACGTCCGGACCCTCAACAGATGGCCTGTCTTATTAGGCCTGTTCTCTCACCCTTCCTACTCCCAGGCGGTGAAGGCTGTTGGCCGCCACCCACCAACCACGCCCTACTCGTCCTCTCCTGCACAACTCCCCCATCTGCCCTCCTACCCTTCAGGGTCCTGGGCCCTGCCCTGATACCATCACATCTGTCATCCCCCCTGGGATTCCAGCTGCTTCTCAGCCTCCAGGACGTTCATGTGGGTGGCCGAGAGCATTTCTCCACTGGCTGCGTGAAACCTGGTGTTCAGGGAGAATGACTGGGGTGCCATCCACATGGGGAAGATGGATTTTTTTTTTCCCTCAAGGATACGGGTTGCCGGCGCGATCAGAGGAACGTGTCACTACAAAGCCCTGCCCAGATGTGACCTGCATCTACTGCAAGTCTCCTGGCAGAGACAGAATCCCAAAGAAGCGTGTAGGGCATCCAGCCAGGCCTTCAAAGGAAGTGGGGTTGTTTGTACCCAGCTTCCTACAGAGAAGTAAAAGAACTGAGTCTGGCAGGAGAGAAAGTATAAATGGGGAACAAAGACAGAGTCGTCCAGATCCTTCTCATGCTGCTCAGTATGGTAGTATAGTAATAATACTCAGAGTGGTAGCAGACATGGTAGTAATAATACTAGAAGTCGGGCAAGAAGTAGCATAATAATAATCCCATAGTCCTGCGTAAAGGCAGACATTTAGGAAGTGACTTCAGTCTTCCAAGTGAGAAATGATGGTGGCTTGGTCAGGGTGCTGGCCATGGCTGGGGAGAGGAATGAATGGATTCTCAGGCTGTTTGGAAAGCTAAGATGGGTGGGAGTCAGGAGTGCATTGGGTGCGGAGACAAAGAGGCTGAGGTGAGGACAGCTCCCACCTGGCTTGTCCAGAACAGACGGATGGCAGCACCCAGCACTGAGGTGGGAACCCCAGGGTGGGGGTGGGGAGGAAGGGGTGCAGATCTGGCCAGGGCGGGGAGACACAAGAGATCCTATCACCTCCCTACACCCTCCTGGAGCTGTTGTTCCATTCACCCACCTCCCGTTCCCCAGGTTCCAGCATGGCGGCATGAATGCTTTGGCACAGAGCTCTAATTCTGCTGGTTGTGACGGTGGCCGTGATCATTTTCTCGCCTCAGGACATTTGCATGAGCTGTTGTCTCTACCTGCAAGGCCCTGCTTCCTTTTTTTTTTGCCTGGTTAATGCCTGCTCGTCCTTCTGGCTTCGACTTTGATGTTAGATATCTCTTCTGTGTGTGCCACCTCCCCTGTACGTGGCCAGTGGCCCACGTCAGGGCATCCATCATGCTCGATTACAGTGGCTCGTTCAATTGTCAGCACTTCTCCACTGGACTGAGTCCCTGGGGGCACAGAATACATCTGTCTGGTTTGTCACTCTAGCCCTGATCCTTGCTGCCTTGCCTGGCACATAGAAGCTACTCCATAAACAAACATGTGTTGAATGAATGAAGGGTTCAAAATGGCCAGGAGAGTGGATAGTCACAGTCAAGGGCATGGGGTTTGGGAGCCATACTGCCTGGATTTGACTTCTGTCTCCAACTTACTAGCTCTGGCCAACTTAGTTAACCTTAGTTTCGTAATTGGTAAAATGGGGGTAATAGGGGTTTTGCTTGGCACATAGTAAGTGCTCACTTAATGCTAGTGTTCACTATTCATCCCTCAGCGATCTCTGTGACTTCTGTCCCGGACTTAGCCCACCCACTTGATTGTGAGTCACAGCTGTCCTCACCAGCCTGAGCCCCTCCAAGCCACCGAGATGTGGACCCTGCCTCCTTTTTGACTTCATCTTGAACTCGCCCTCACTCCTACACTCCAGCCCCCCAGCCTCCTTGCTGGTCCTTTGAACTTGACCTGCGCATCCCACCTCGAGGCTTTTGCACTTGCCTTTCCCCCCACAATTCAGTCACCACTACCCCCTTGTTTCCTGTTCTTATCATCACTTGAAATCGTCTTGTTCCCACCTGAGTCTACTTATTATTTATCTCCACTCCTCTCATAATGATGTCCAGAAGGGCAAGGGCCCTGTCCGTCTTGTCCACTGCTGTATCCCCAGTGCCTATCCATTGAGCACCTACTGTGTGCTCAATAGTTGAGTGCACGGACACCCTGCCTCGCGGTCGCTGTCCAGCAGTGTCGTCCTTGGGTGAGCATCCATCAACATCGGCTCATCCTCTCCCCTCCCTTGCTTTGCTGTTGCGTCTGGGTGTGCCTGCCGCCCGTCCCCTGGAGTTACCAAAGACCGGTGCCTGCCTGACATACACACACACCTCTGCCCAGGCAGGTAGACAGCTGCCCGGAAACACCCAAGACGACAAGTGCCTTTTCAGTGAGGTTTCGGATGGATGGGCCCACACCGGGCAGCCGGGACTTATCCGCGCTCCCCACCCCCCATGCCGAGTGGTCAGTCTGTTTACAGAGGTGAAGACAAATGGGGACCGAATGTGTTCAAGACAGAGGACAGAGTATGCGCAAAGGCCCTGAGGCAGGAACACGCTTGGCATTTCTCAGAGGCAGCAGCCTGAAATTTGGGGACGATATTCTGTCCTTCAAAACTTTTCAATGTAAACCTTTCTGTTTTTCTAGTACTTTCCAGAAGAATGGTGAGTTTCTGCACCTTCTGCAGGAAGGTGCAGAAATCCAAGTCCATTGACCCAGCTTCAGATTTGAGAATCCCATTTGGAGAGGCTGATGGTGTCCTTGTGGTCATTTATTCATTCAACAAGCATCCAGAGACCCTACTCAAAGTGTCAGACACTGAGACTTTGCTCAGAAACCAGAGTGACACTGCAAAGGGTTATGGATAGAGAAAGGAATGAATTGGGACCATTTTTGCAGTCAATCTATCAGCGTGGCAGACCCTGTACTAGAAACCCCGTTCCCCAAAACAGAATCCAAAAGGTTCTTCCACGGTGCTTCCTCATGCGAAGCTGGAGGAACCAGGTTCCCAGGAGCCATGTACATGTCAACCCGGAGGGGCTGGATCCTTCTCTTGGTGTAGACGATCAGTGACTCGAGGCCGATCTCAGGAAGAACGGAGGCTCTCCCAGGCCCGGTGGAGACCGTTTTAAGGTCCCCTCAAGGCCCTGCCTAATGCCCCACCTTCATTCTCTCCTCCAGCCCCCCGCCTCAGGAAAACAGTCTCCCACGAAGAATGGCAGTCCCTCCAAGTGTCCCCGCTTCCTCAAGGTCAAGAACTGGGAGACCGACGTGGTTTTCACCGACACCCTCCACCTTAAGAGCACACTGGTAAGTATCCCAGCTGGTGTAGACCAGGGTGTCGCAACCTCAGCCTTATTCACATTTGGAGCCGGTTAAGTCTTTGTCATGGAGGACAAGCCTGTGCATTGTGGGACCTTTAGCACCATCCGTGTACCCGCCAGGTGTCAGGACCACCCCCTCCTGCAAAGCCGTGGCAACCAAAAATGTCTCCAAGGCATTGCCTGATAGCCCCCAGGCAGGAAATTCACCTCTGTTGAGAACCACTGCCAGAGACTCTCTTCCTTGCATAAGTGCTTTTTATTTGTGTATTTAGTGCCCAGAATAATCTCAGGGGTAGTTGCCAGCTCTGAATCCATCTCTGTCTCTCACAGTCTGACCGCTGATGGACAAATCCTTCCTTGAGTTCTCAGTATGTCCTCTCAATTTTCATTTCATATTCTTTGCAGTCAACAAACCAACATGTTGCTTTTAAATATTTGTTGACAGTTGGACCTCTTGGAAGAACATTGTATCTGTAAGCTATTGCAGTGTAACAGACTGGCCCAAAATTTAGCAGCTGAACACAATCATTATTTATTATTTTCTAAAAGCCTAGGGACTGGCTGGGTGGCTCTGCTGATCTGGATCAGATCCCTTTGATTTTTGTGGGGCTTTCTCATACCTCTGCAGCTATGTGAGGAGTCAGTTAAGGGAAGGACGGCCCTGGTGAGATGACTCAGCTCTATTTGGTGTGATCTCTCCTCTTCCAGAAGCTAGCTTGGGCTGATTCATGTGTGGTTGCAGGGTACTAAGAATGAGCAGAAAAACGGATGATCTCCTGAGGCCCGGGCTTGAAACTAGCACAGGGTCACTTCTGCCACATTCTAGGGTCAGAACCAGCCCAGAGTCAAAGGAGGCGATAGATAGATGTCACTTCTCCAGGGAGGGTAAAGTGACATCGCAAAGGGTATGGATATGGGAAGGGAAGAATTAGGTCCATTTTTGCATTCAATCTATCATAGATGTGTTCTAATGAATCCCTGTAGCCACGCTCTTCATTCCTTCTTGATCAACATGAAGCCAAAAAATATTCCAGGCTGGGTCGGGCATGGCGACTCACACATGTAATCCCAGTGCATTGAGAGGCCAAGGCGGGAGGATCGCTGGAGGCCAGGAGTTCAACCAGCCTGGGCAATGTAGCAAGACCCCATCTCTACCAAAAATTTAAAAATTGGATGAGCAAGATGGTGTGTACATGTAGTCCCAGCAACTTAGGAGACTGAGGCAGGAGGATCACTTGAGCCCAAGAGTTCAAGGATGCAGTGAGCTATGATCGTGCCACTGCACTCCAGGCTGGGCGACAAAGCAAGACGTTGTCTCTAAAAAATAAAAAACTAAAAATAAATAAATAAATAAATATATTCTGATATATATATATAATCTCAGAATGTAGCACCAATGATTCTGATTCCTAGTCAGAAGCTTCCACTCCCCCAAAATAGAGCCAGCACTGTAGGAACCCTGAAATGCTGCCTCTGTTCCTCACCTTGACTATGACTTTGTCCAACAAAGGCTTGAAGCTGGTTCAATTCCCTTTGGGACTTAAGGGCCAGGTGAGCTGGATCATGAGTATCAGATCCAGGTCCGCAGTCCAGTGCCCATCCCCCTTTACCCAGGCTCACCTGCATCCCTCTCTGCTTTCCAGGAGACGGGCTGCACTGAGCACATCTGCATGGGCTCCATCATGCTCCCTTCTCAGCACACGCGCAGGCCTGAGGACATCCGCACAAAAGAGCAGCTCTTCCCTCTCGCCAAAGAGTTCATTGATCAATACTATTCGTCCATCAAAAGGCAAGTGTGTGTCCGCTCTGGAACCTGGGGTGCATTAGCGAGTACTGGGGACAAAGACATCAGCTCCAACCTTGCAGAGGGATAAACCGAGGCCTGAGCACGAGCCGCTGCCCACTCTACACAGAGGTCAAAACCTGGTAGCCTGGCTTCCAAATCTGGCCCTCAGAAGGGCTTTTGTTTGGCTTATAGAGGGTTGCTTAGCATTTGAAATATTTTAGAGCCAGGCACAATGGCTCAAACCATTGGGAGGTCAAGGCAGGAAGATGGCTTGAGGCCAGGAGTTTGAGACCAGTTTGGGCAAGAAAGCAAGAACCCATCTCTACCCCCAAAAAAGTTTTAATTAGCTGGATGTGTTGGTGTATGTCTATAGTGCCAGCTACTTGAGAGGCTGAGGCAGGAGGATCACTTGAGCCTAGGAGTTTACGGTTACAATGAGCTATGATCGCACCACAGCATTCCAGCCTCAGCGACAGAGCAAGACCTTGTCTTAAAAAAAAAAAAAGACTGTTTTAAAATATTTCAAGCAATCCCATCCCCTAGAGAAACTCACACTTGTTCACAAGAGGGCATACATAAAAACGTTCACTGAAACATTTTTTATAGCAGGGAAAAAATTGCAATTAAAGAACAACAGGAAACATCATCAACAGGAGAATGTTGTCTGTTCCAGGAATGGAATATTATACAACTGTAAAAAACGAAAGAGTGAGAGCTCTGCAGGTTTCTGGAATTGAAGTTTGCAAATAACTTTGAGCAAAAGAAAGAAAGGATAAGATGAAGAAGGATACATCCAGGAGAGCACCATTTCTATAAACTGTTTTGACATGCAGAGTGACATCATACATGGTTTAGGGATAGATACCCATGTAGGAAAAGTATGAACAAGTACATGAGAATCAAAATGCCAGATTCAAGATGGTAGCCACTTCTGGGGGGAGAATGGATTATGGCGGGGGAGTCATCCCCCAACGAACTATTATATGATCTCTTAGGCTTGGGACATGAGTGTTTGTTACATTATTCTGTATACCTTTTCATAAGCCTAAAATTTCACAATAACTTTTTTAACTTTCTAAAATTGAATTCATTGCCAACATTTAATAATTAGGGCCGTGCGCTGTGGCTCAGGCTTGTAATCCCAACACTTTGGGAGGCCGAGGGGACTGCCTGAGCCCATGGGTTCGAGACCAGCCTGGGCGACTTGGCAAGACTTCATCTCTACAATAAATCAAAAAAATTAGTCAGGCGTGGTGGCACGCGCCTGTAGTCCTAGCTACTTGGGATGCTGAGGTGGAAGGATCGTCTGAGCCCAGGAGGGTCGGGGTTGCCATGAGGCATGATCATCATGATTGTGCCACTGCACTCCAGTCTGGGAGACGTAGTGAGACCCTGACTCAAAAAAAAACAATCAGATTTCCAGTTTCTCTTGATAGAAGAACTGGCAGTTCTGGGTCCCCATTCCTATTAGGCAGCAGTTTGCCAGAGTGGAGCCATGGCTGCCTGCTTTGAGCATGACCTGGGCTCGCCTGTTTGCTGCAGTGCCCACCCGGCTAGTTTAGCCATTTGTACACTGCTTACTTTGTGAGCATCTGAGTTCTGCAGTCTTGGCTTTATGCTCAAACTGTTGCATAGAAATCAACTCTGTAGCTTCCAGCCCTGGAATAACTCACCCTTCCACCACCTCCGATTCAGATGAGAGGGTGATGCATCCATGTCCCTTTCATCCTTCTCAGATTTGGCTCCAAAGCCCACATGGATAGGCTGGAAGAGGTGAACAAAGAGATTGAAACCACCAGCACCTACCAGCTCAAGGACACAGAGCTCATCTATGGAGCCAAGCACGCCTGGCGGAACGCCTCCCGCTGCGTTGGCAGGATCCAGTGGTCCAAGCTGCAGGTGGGTACTGGGGCTCAGATACCCTGAGCAGCCCCTTGGTGAGGGAAGGGGGAAAGGCCAGTGGATGGTGCTTTAAAACGGGTCAGCTCCTACCAAGAGCACCTGGTAGTCATGAGGTCCCAAGTTCCCAGACCATGGCCAACTCTGGATGATAGTCATCTCTTATGCAGCAGTCAATACAGTGCTTTTTTTAAAAAATGAATTTGCATAACTCTTGGTAGGGCTTATACTTTCAGTTTACCAAAGACCCCACTACTCCCTTTTGTCTCACACCTACTCTCTGCTTATTTATGTTATCTGCCTACTCCTTGAAGTCATTCGTTTCTGTGTCTCTTGGGTATGATCTTATTCTAGGAAATAGTATAAAATTGGAAATAAATTTGTTATCAAGATCAGGGGTTTTTTGGTTTGGTTTTTGTTTCATTTTTTAATCCTTAATCCCTAGTAACCTAATAAGAAATGTAGCCAGCTCATTAAAACTCCCTCCTGGCCAGACATGGTGGCTCATGTCTGTAATCCTAGCGCTTTGAGAGGCTGAAGTAGGAGAATCATTTGAGGCCAACCCGGACAACCTAGAGAGACCCCCATCTCTACAAAAACAAAGTAGCTGGCATGGTGGCACATGCCTGTGATCTCAGCTACTTAGGAGGCTGAGGAAAGAGAATCACTTGAGTCCAGGAGTTCCAGGCTGCAATGAGCTGTGATCACACCACTGCACTCCATCCTGGGCAACACAGTGAGACCCTGTCTCAAAGATAAGCGCAGCAGCCAGGCTCAGTGGCTCAGCCTGTAATCCCAGCACTTTGGGAGACCGAGGCGAGTGGATTGTCTGAACCCGCGGGTTCGAGACCAACCCGGGCAACTTGGTGAGCCCTCATCTCTACAATAAATGAGCTGGGCGTGGTAGCGTGCACTTGTAGTTCCAGATACTTGGAAGGCTGAGGCGGAAGGATTGCCTGACCCCAGCAGGTCAAGGCTGTAGTGGCTGTGAGCCACCGCACTCCAGCCTGGGCGACAGAGTGAGACTCCAACTCAAAATAAATAACTAAATAAACACATCAATAAATAAAATAAAACTCACTCCTGTATTCACCGTCCCTTACGCCCATGCCTACTTTTAGGGGATTTTTCCTTTTCTGATAGGCCTCAATGCTTAGGATAGAGAAAGGAAGGTACCAAGTCCAGCCTGGGACTCCGTCATGAGGTGCTCACCACTCCAGTGGGGCAGCGACTGGAGTGGGCTCAAGTTCTCCTCCTATGGGCGACTGCCCTGGGGGGGCTGGAGGGGGCTGGGGAGGAGGCACTCAGTCCCACCCTGCACCTCCTCCAGGTGTTCGATGCCCGCGACTGCACCACGGCCCACGGGATGTTCAATTACATCTGCAACCACGTCAAGTACGCCACCAACAAAGGGAACCTCAGGTGAGCTGACCGCTGGGCCTAGGGAGATGCTCCCCCTCAGGTGGGATAAGCCAAGCTGGGAGAGGTGCCCCGGCACCTTTGTCCCATACCCCATCCCATGTTCCTTCGCTGCTGGGCCAAGCAGACCCGCAGCAAACCCACAGCAGCACACATAACATTCAACCCGCAGTTCAGCATCCTCCATGGAGAGGGCAGGAGGAAATAGAGTCCCGGGAAAGTAGGAAAATTCCGTTGCCGGTGGTGACCTGTTTCCTGCACCCTGCTCTGCGGCCTGGAGCTCCCTCCAAAAAAAAGAAAAGAGAAAAAGACAATTCCCTTTCCTGCCGCTGTGAGGACTGGTCCTTCAAACTCCACACCTAGCCATGCCTTGGACTCTTCTCGAAATGACACAAAGACCAAAGCCACAGGGAGCAGGCCGAGGCAGGAGGGTATCCATGTGGCTGGAGGTGGCCTCACCGGCAAGTCTGAGCTGGGAGAGGGACAGCTGGAAGGGAGCAGCTGGGGCCCCACAGACTGCTGGCTGCACTTGTTAGTCTTGCTCACTCACTGCTGCCACAGCATCTATTCCCAGCTCCCGAGCACCAACCCCATCTCCGGGCTGCACAGGGACCACTGCAGGGATATTCCCACAAACCCCCAGGGCCACCCGGAGCTTATGCTGCAATGGCTTATCTGCATTCAACACTGGTTTATTTGGATGTGTCTCTTCATTAAGAAGAAAACAGTGAGTCTACCAGAAGAGGGCCTGTAATCTAATCTTGTGCCTGCATGAAAAATCATGTGTAGGTCTCTTTCCCAGGAGACCTCATGCCTCAGAGAATACAAAAGAACCCTCCTGTGTATCCTGACCATGAACAGAAGACCCAGTCAAGGTTAGACCTTCAAAGAGCTTATGGGCTCCTCTCATGGTTTTCAAAGGTACTGTGAGTAGACATTGGGCAGGGGTCACCCCAGGCCCAGCAGTGTACCTCTACATTTTTTTTTTAATGATCTATTGTAGCATTTTCATGAGAACTTCCATCAAAGAAAATATTCAGGCTGGGCACAGGCACTTTGGGAGTCTGAGGCGGGATGATTGCTTGAGCCCAAGAGATCGAGACCAGCCTAGACAACATAGTGAGGCCTTGTCTCTACAAAAAATTAGCCAGGCGTGGTGTCATGTGCCAGTAGTCCCAACCACTCAGAAGGCTGAGGCAGGAGGATCTCTTGAGCCCAGGAGGTTGAGGCCGCAGTGAACTATGATCATGCCACTATACTCCAGCCCAGGTGACAGAGTGAGACCCTGACATAAAAAAGAAAAAGGAGAGAGAGATCTTTAAGAGCGCCTTTGATTCTATGTGACTTTTTTTTGCCTTCAGCTCCGATTCTAGCCTCGCCCCTAGTATGACGCATCACCCCTCCAGAATCAAATACTACATTGTCTTGTGTAGAGAGTAAGACCTAAAAAACATTCTCTGAACAAAGAAGAAGGTCCCGTGAACTAGACGAGACAGGGGCTGCTGTCTGGAGAAAGTGAATGTGAGTCAGACCTTGAACCTGGACGTACAGTAAAAGAGAGGAATTCCAGTCAAGGGGACCAGCAGGGGCAAAGTTTTGGGCAGGAATGTGTATGAGAGAAGACCTATGAGCAATGACTTGGACATGAGATGTAGTCCTTGTGTGGACACGGGGAGCTAGGATGGCATTTCCACAGCCTGGAATTCAGTCCTCTTAGGGGACCAGTGAGTGCAACTCAGAGAACTCCCGGCAGGAGATACCATAGCGCCATACGGTTAAAGGGCTCTTCTCCTCCCCATTGTCTATTTCAATTCTTCTGATGATGCCAGGAAGAAAGTCTTAGGTTGGTGCTAAGGTATCGTTAATACCTCTCTAGCACGAAGACACCAGGACTCCCGCTGGGCGCTGCAGCAGACAACAATATCCTTCTGCAATTTAATAAGACACAGTCTTTGTGGTTGCCTATGTAGGCAGGCAGGGCCCGTGGCTGGTGACCTACAGTTTTCGTTTAAATAAATAAATGTAAGTACAAATGCAAGCAAATTTCCTTTTAATCCTAAGTCTATAAACTTTGGTTTGGTGCAGAGGGTGGGGAAATTGGGTGAGAATTAATGATGATGTTAGGAGAAGACTGGAACTGGGAATCAGTATTGTGGTTTTTTGTTGTTGTCTGTTGGTTGGTTTTGAGTTGGGAGTCTCACTCTGTCGCCCAGGCTAGAGTGCAGTGGCACAATCACAGCTCACTGTAGCCTTGACCTCCTGGGCTCAGGCAATCCTCCCACCTCAGCCTCCTGAGTAGCTGGGACTACAGGTGTGCACCTCCACACATTATTATTATTAGTAGTAGTAGTAATAGTAGTAGTAGTAGTAGTTGTATTTTGGTAGAGACGAGGTGTCATTAGGTTGCCCAGACTGGTTTCAAACTCTTGGGCTCAAGCAAGCCTCCTGCCTCAGCCTCCCAAAGTGCTAGGATTACAGGTATAAGCCATCATGCCCAGCTGGTAGTAATTCTTAAAGGAAAGCAGCATCCAATGGCTCCTGGAGATTACCAGCTGCGAACAAACTCCCTGGAAGACTGGCTCAGGTCCATATCATTATTCACAATAGCAAAAACATGGAATCAACCATGTTACCCTTCGAAGCTGGACTGGATTAAAAAAATGTGGTACATATACACGATGGAATATTATGCAGCCCTAACGAAGGACCAATATATGGACTTTGCAGCAACTTGGATGGATTTGGAGTCGATCATACTCAGTGATTTGTCACAGAAGCAAAGAACAGAGTTCCATATGTTCTCACTCATAAGCGGAACTTGAACAATTATAGTACTATAAGAATGCGTCTGGCAGTAATGGGAAACTGTCAGGGGAGGGCAGTGGGATTGGCAGTTGAGAGAAACTGCTAGGAGAGAGAGGGGCATACCTCATCAACAAGGAAACCTGCATGATCAATGTTTATATACCTAAACATTGTACCCCACATCTTTATCATAAAAATTTTTTTTCAAGTCTCCAGCAAGGGGGCATGGGGCTTTCCACTCCCCACCCTTCCTCAGACCCATGCTTCTCTCCAGTGGAAGAACAGAGCAAGTTCCCTCCCTTCCAACAGCTGCTCCTTGGGCCCTGGGGAGTTGGGCAGAGACATCATCCGCCCTGGGCCTCGAGCAGCCATTGGCCTGAGTGGCACCGTTCTCAGTATGTCCCCACTGTGCAGGTCCCAACCTGATGCCGGGTATCCCCCTCTCTCCGCCACAGGTCAGCCATCACCATATTTCCCCAGAGGACAGATGGCAAGCACGACTTCCGAGTGTGGAACTCCCAGCTCATCCGCTATGCTGGCTACAAGCAGCCCGACGGCTCCACCCTGGGGGATCCCGCCAATGTGGAGTTCACAGAGGTGCGAGCGTGCATGCTCCCCCCCTGCCCCTTTCCCCACCTGGGATCCCATGCCCCCCCCAGCTGTCTTTAACCACAAACTTTTCTTCATTTAATTTGATCATCTCAGGGAGAGCAGCCAGTGGGGTGCAGTCAACTCTCTGTAGGCCTGCTGTTCCACTGGACCAGTCCCCATCCTTCTGGACCTTTTTTTTTTTAAAGAGGGTCTCACTCTGTCACCCAGGCTGGAGTGCATTGGCGCGATTATAGCTCACTGCAGCCTCAAAATTCTGGGTACAAGCAATCCTCCTGCCTCAGCCTCCTGAGTAGCTGGGACTCTACCATGCCCAGCTAATTTTTCATTTTTGTAGAGATGAGGGTCTCACTAAGTTGTTCAGGCCAGTCTCGAACTCCTGGCCTCAATCAGTCCTCCTGCCTTAGCCTCTCAAAGTGCTGGGATCACCGACACGAGCCACTGTTCCCTTCTGGTTCTTTTACAGCTGGTCATTGGTCATTTTTATGCCATTACCTTGCCGAATCTTCCTGATGGGAACTGTTGTCCCATTTCAAGATGGGTAGACTGAGTCTTATCAAAGCCAAGTGAGTTTTCCAAGGCTACTAAATGAATAGAAAGGGAAAGCTTGAGCTATAGTCCAAACCTCCTGCCTCTTACCAAGAGGAGAGAAGCCGGTATATGGAAACCATGTCTGGCATCCACCTTTTTGGAGTTGGGTAGTCTCATGCCATTCATTCATTCATTCGTTGATACAGTTCTAGTCACACAACCCTAGAGTGGGCTTGGCTCTCGCTGGCACCAGCACCACCACAATCACTGGTAAGCCCAGTCCATTCATTAAAAACCACCAGGGAAGGGGACACCACCATCCCCTGCCCAGAGCTCCTTCCAGACGGTAATGGGACCCACCGTCCAAGCTAGACATGGTGGTGTTTGGACTGTCCCTGCAGGAGACACCACAGGCAGGTCTAGAACAATCGTACACAGGCCTGTACCAGCTTCCAACCATCACCCAACTCTGCCCTGTTGAACCTCACCGTTGGCTGTTACCCTAAGTCCCCTCGGCCCCTCCCGGAACCTCCTCCAAGACCAGCTGGCAAGGCTGAGGGTTTGCTCCAGCCCCTCCAGGCCGCTGGCTCTATTTGCATGTGCCTTTTCTTATGAAAATGTTATTATCCTGAGGAGGGGGTTGTAACCAGGGCGACCAGGAGGCGCACCTGTGCCATTTTAGATGCAGCCAGACTTGGCTCCACTTGGCTGGGCGCTAACTGCGTACTTGGCTGACCTTGTCCTCGTGGCCACCAGAACAGAAACGCCCAACCTCTTCCTCCTGTTCTGCCTCAAGAAACCTCGCTGACCAGGACGTGTTCTCCTAAACCTATGATTTAGTGATCCTCTTTCTACTAACACAGCACAAAACATCAGCCCAAACCTCACCACATAATTATACCTGTTTTTTGAGTTGGAGTCTCACTCTGTCACCCAGACTGGAGTGCAGTGACACAATCACAGCTCATCGCAGCCTCGACCTCCTGGGCACAACTGATTTTTCTGCCTCAGCCTCCTGTGCAGCTGGGACTTCAGGCACGCGCCACTCCGTCTGGCTTATTTTTTTATTTTTTGGTAAAGGCAAGGTCTCCCCAGGTTGTCTAGGCTGGTCTTGAACTCCTGAACTCAAGCAATCCTCCTGCCTCAGCCTCCCAAACTGCTGGGATTACAGCCATGAGCCACCACACCCAGCCCATAGTTACACCTTTTGAAACCCTCTAGCCCTGCCCTGTTTAATAAGGACCCTGGCCCTGTGTGACTACTGAACACTTGAAAGGTGGCTAGTCCTAGCTGAAACGTTCCATAAGTGAAAATACACACTAGACCTCAAAGAGTGAGTACACAAAAGAGTGGGAAGGAGCTCGCGGATCATTTTTCATGTTGAAATAATAATAGTGTGGATATATCAAGTTAATATGCTTACCTAAAAATCAATAGATGTATTGGATTAATCAATATATTACATATAATGTTAATATCAAATGTATTGTTTAAATATAGTCATATTAATAATTTAAGCTTAATAAATTAATATTGATGTTTAATGTATTTAATGATGTCATGTATTACTTGTATTTGATATATTTATTAGATTAATAATGTTACCTATTTAATTTCAATGTCAGATATATAATTAGAATATACTTATAGTAAAACCTTAATACATTATGAATCAATTAATAGAAAGGATAATGTTGAATTTAAAATATGTTACTTAAAATTAGTACATTACTAAAATTATTTTTGCCTGTTTTTTTTTTTTAATGTGGCTCCTAGAAAATTTTAATTACTGCTGGGCTCAGTGGCTCATACCTATAATCTCAGCACTTTGGGAGGCCAGGGCAGGAGAATTGCTTGAGGCCAGGAGTTCAAGACCAACCTGAGCAACATTGCACGTCCTCATCTCTACAATTAGCTGGATGCAGTGTCACCTGCCAGTAGTCCTAGCTACTCAGGAGACTGAGGCAGGAGATTTGCTTGAACCCGGGAATTTGCAGCTTTCTCATACGGAATATGACTGTGCCACTGCGCTCTAGCCTGGACGACAGAGCAGGACCCTGTCTCTAAAAAATACAAATAATTTTTTTAGGGAAATTTGATTACTTATGTGACTCATAGTACATAGTACTTACAGCTACACTAACAAATGCATGTTTTACAGTAACTCTAATACATCTGCCTTTGTCAAATTCAGTAGGTTTTCTTTACAGCTTATAGCACCTATTGCAAATACTTAAAAGAGTAAGCACACGGCAGGTGCAACAATTAGGTCCAGCCCTTGTCCTCTGGGAGTTCCAGGGGGCAAGGAAGCCCAAAAAAACAACAAAGTCTGGTGCTGGAACAAAGGTTTGCCCTCTGCCCCATGGAACCATGAAAGGCCATGCTCATTCGCGTGGTGATGCCAGGGAGAACTTTATAAGGCAGGGACGTGGCCTCAGAGCTCCAGAGCAGGTGTCTCCCAGGGGTTCACCTTTGGATCTCTTTCCTCTCCACCCCTTCCCACATAAGGCCATGGTTGTAGGGTCTGGGGCACAGTGGCTTACCCTGGCGGGGTCTGGTTGCAGATTTGCATACAGCAGGGCTGGAAGCCCCCGAGAGGCCGCTTTGATGTCCTGCCGCTTCTGCTCCAGGCCAACGGCAACGACCCCGAGCTCTTCCAGATTCCTCCAGAGCTGGTGTTGGAAGTGCCCATCAGGCACCCCAAGTAAGAGGGACCGCGATGGGATCGGGTGGGGGCTTGCCCAGTGCCTCTCTCGTGTCCCCTGGCTCTCTCTCCACCCCAGACAGAGGCCGAGAGGGCTGCTTGTTTCCAATGGGGGTCTAGGGCGGAGAGGGCTCCCTCAACCGTCCATTAGTCCTCCGTGGCCGGCCAGGGGGCTGCCATCTTTTCTGAATCATACGTTCCTCACCTCACCCCTGCCCATCAACAAGGACCTGCCCTTTTTCCAACCCTGCGGGTTAGAAGAGAAGAAGCGTCTAGTCTTCCTGCGGGCACACAGAGCACACATTTTCAATAGAGGGGGCTGTTTAAAACTCTACAGGGCCTGGTGTGGATTAAGTTCAAAAGGAATTTGGAGCCGGGAATTTGCTGCGAGGGCCAAGGCCAGCTATGCAAAGGGCATTTGCCCTTTGAGAGTGAAGGGAACCCACGGTGACGCACTGGTCTCAAACTTGGTATTGGATATACACGAGGGTTGCTAAAACACTGCATAATAAGAGGGAGAGAAAATAGGTGAATGCAGTGTTTTAAAATCAAAGCTAGTTATTTTTAATTGATATACAATAATGGTAGATATTCATGTGGTGTGTAGTGATGTTTCAGTACGTGTAATGGATAGTGATCAGATCAGTATAATAAGCATATCCCTCATCTCAAAAATGTATCCTTTCTTTGCAGTGGCAACATTCAATATCCTCCTTGTAGCTACTTGAAACTATATTATTATTACATAAGTCATCCTACAGTGGTATAACAGTGGTCCCCAACCTTTTTTGGCATCAGAGACCAGTTTCGTGGAAGATGGTTTTTCCACGGACGGTCAAGGGAGGAGATCATCAAGGTATTAGATTCTCATAAGAGGCGCACAGCCTAGATCCCTCATGTGCGCAGTTCTTAATAGGGTTAGGGTTCCTGTGAAATTCTAATGCCGCTGCTGATCTGACAGGAGATAGAGCTCCAAGCACCACCATTCACCTCCTGCTGTGCAGCCCAGTTCCTGACAGTCCACGGATGGGAACGGTCCGCGGTCCAGGGTTTGGGGACCCCTGGTATCTAGAACTAGTCCTTGTCTCTTGCTCTAATTTTGTATTCTTTTTTTTTTTTTCTTTCTTTTTTTTTTTTTTTCATTAATCAGTATTTTTTATTATGGTTTTGTGGGGAACAGTTAAGGGTTAGGTGTACAATGACGTTTCATTCAGGCACCCTGTAGATAAAAAGTGTTTTCCCATCCCCCGACAAATATTTGCTACTGTTAATCCCATCCCCCTCCCCCCCCATAGTTTCCCAGTACCATCAGTCATTTTCTCATAGTATTGCATTGGATGTTCAAGGTCCATTATATGAGTGAGAACATGTGGTATTCGGATTTTTGTTTTTGTGAGAGGTCACTCAGTATTATAGACTCTAGTTCCATCCAGGTTGCAGCGAAATTCATGATTTTGTTCTTTTTTATGGCTACGTAGTATTCCATCGTGTATATGTACCACATTTTTTTAATCCAGTCCTCTTTTGATGGGCAGCATGGTTGTTTCCAGGTTCTTGCTATTGTGAACAATGCTGCGATAAACATACGTGTGCAGGTATCTTTTTTATAGAGTGATTTGTGTTCTTCAGGGTATATTCCCAGTAGGGGGATTGCAGGGTCATATGGAAGGTCAATTTTTAGAGCTTTTAGGAATCGCCACACTGCTTTCCACAGAGGTTGCACTAGTTTACACTCCCACCAACAGTGTAGAAGTGTTCCCTTTTCACCACACCCTCTCCAGCAGCTGTTATTTTTTGAGTTGTTGATAATTGCCATTCTGACTGGAGTTAGGTGGTATCTCAGTGTGGTTTTGATTTGCATCTCCCTGATGATTAGTGAGGCTGAGCATTTCTTCATGTGTTTGTGGGCTGCTCGAATGTCTTCTCTTGTGAAGTGTCTGTTCATATCTTTTGCCCATTTTATAATGGGGTTGTTTGTTTTCTTCTTTTCAGTACGCTTCAGTTCCTTGTAGATCCAGGATGTTAAGCCTTTGTCAGACCTAGAGTTGGCAAATACTTTTTCCCAGTCTGTAGGCTGTCTCCCTG